TAAAATTGAGGCTAAGAGTATGGTTCAGGAATAGAACATCTTCCTAGAACTTGAAAAGGCCTGCACTTCATCCCCAGGACTTTGAAAAGAAAACAAAAAATAAACAAATAAAATTTTCTTTTATGAGGTTCTTCCATTACATCATTTGCAGAGCAAACTTCTGAATAGGCTCCCTAACACCCATCTATAACAGAACTCATTAAGGAGTGATGGCAACATTAGAGAATAGTTGGATAATGGAAAGACATGAAGGTCATGAACTTATTTAATAAGAAGAATGTTTCCCAGAAGAAATTCTGAGAAATTTGCATATTTCATTGTTTGAATTGTGGTACAGCATGTAGGTAGGTGGGCACATAAAATGATCTCAGGCATTTTCTGTCATTGCATCAATGTAACTTGAAGGCAGAGTACACAAGATAAAAATAGTCTATCAAAGAACAATGAGCTTTAATTTCTCCTATCAGTTCAGTAGAGTAAAAGAATAAGAAGTTTAAGAAATAACACAATAAAAATAATATATAATAAATTTTTGCTGGGAAAATTCACTAAATATAGCATTCAGCTTGACAAAATCTATAATTCAGAAATAATAGCCTATTAAAATATTATTATATAAGTAGGAATCATTGCTAATGGCTACTCAGGAGTGCTCACTGGCTGTCAAGTATGATTTTAGGTCCTACAATGACATATTAGCATCTTTAATCCTCAAAATAATGCCAGAAAACTTATTAATTTTTTCATATCTGTCTTAAAGATGTGGAAGCCTAAACAGAGAAATCTCAACAGAGGAATCTAAAATGGCTGAAAGACACTTAAGGAAATGTTCAGCATACTTAATCATCAGAGAAATACAAATCAGAACAACTCTGAGATTCCATCTTACACCTGTAAGAATGGCCAAGATCAAAAACACTGATGACAACTTGTGCTGGAGAGGCTGTGGGGTAAATGGAACACTTGTGCATTGCTGGTAGGAATGCAAGCTGGTACAGCCCCTTTGGATATCAGTGTGGTGATTTCTCAGATTAGGAAACAACCTTCCTCAAGACCCAGTAATACCACTTTGGAGTATATATCCAAAGGATGCTCAATCATGCCACAAGGACATGTGCTCAACTATGTTCACAGCTGGATTGCTTGTCATCGCCAGAACCTGGAAACAACCTAAATGCTCCTCAACCAAAGAATGGATAAGGAAAATGTGGTATATTTACACAATGGAGTACTACACAGCAGAAAAAAATAACGACATCTTGAAATTTGCAGGAAAATGAATGGAGCTAGAAAACATCATTTTGAGTGAGGTAACCCAGACTCAGAAAGACAAGTATCATATGTATTTATTCATAAGTGGCTTTTTAACATAAAGCAAAGAAAACCAGCTCACAAATCACAATCCCAGAGAACTTAGACAACAATGAGAACCCTAATTGACCTGGGAAGTAGAAAAAGGCAAGATCTCCTGAGTAATTTGGGAGCATTGGGACTTGGGGGAGGGTTAAAGTAGAAGGGAGAAGCAGGGAGGACAGCAGAGAAAAATGTAGAGCTCAATAAAAATCAATTTTAAGAAAGATGTGGAAACCAATACACACAAAGGACTAGGAACTTGCTCTAAGCCATGTAGTCAATAGCAGATCAGAGGCAAGTTGGGTCTAGAGTTTCCACTCTTAATATTCAATGAGGACCATCTTGAACTGAGAGGTGAGTAGACAAAGAACCAGAGAAATTCATACTCTATTGTTTCCAAAACCAGTAAGCACTCATTTCAGTGTCCATTTGATGCCCACCTTGATTCTTGCAAGAAGAATCAAGAACATAGTGATGTGAGCGAGCACGTGTTAGAAGCTCAAATGATAGAAGATGTAGAACCTTGTAAAAATGATGAGTATTGGGCTATATGCTTTCCGGTTTTGCTCAAACTGAAGTCTTCACTGGTATTGTGTTTTTTCATAGTTTCTTCCAACAATGGCTGTCTAAAGAGTCATGAAGTATAGTTGTTGAATCTAATAAGGGAAAGAGAAGAAAATGTCCCCCCAAAGGGGGGAATTGCAAATAACATGATTAAGGGGGAAATATATAAAGGACATAAAAGATTGAAGAGAACTCATGTCTGAAAAATTAATTATTTGAAACTACAAACAGGATTTAGAAGTGAGCTCTCATATGAGGATGGAACCTCTCACTTTAAAATTATTTTGAGAATATATATGCATGCATACTTTGAGATAGTGGTGGGCACATTATTTCTCTTTATCATTTTGAAGAGAATGAAGATTTCTGGGATTCGGTTCAGTTCCCTAACACACATATCTGGTGGTTCATAGCCCCTGTAACTACAGCTCTAGGGGTTATCTTATGTCTTCTTCTGGCCCCTGTGGGCAACTGCACCCACATTCACAGATGTATATGTATGCATTTTTTATTTTTTTAAATAACAAAGCTGTGACTTTCTCACCTCAACATCTCTAGTATTTAGAATTCTTACTGACATAGGTATTGGAACAGACTTTTAAACCTTGTATTTAAAAGATACTATGAGACCCTCACCCATTATTCTCAAAGAGGCAAGAAGAAATTTCCTAGCAGATGTTTTCCCAGGAAGATAGTGGCCTTCCCCTCTCTGACCCAGGACATTCCAAACACAAGGTCTTTTAGCTCAGCCCAGTCAAACACCTGGTACAGGCTGATAAAGATGTCCTAACTCAAGAACAGTGGCCTTGCTCTAAGAACAAGGAGAAAGCTGACTTAACAGAATGGGAGGGAGCAAAAGTCCTTATACCCATGCCAAAGCATCTTCAAAGATTGTCTTTGTAGTTATGCCTTGAAAAGCTTACCCCACAGAGGAGATACAACTCCTCTCTACCTTATTGTAATGGGGATAGGGATGGAGATGAGCTCCAAACGTGTTTGTATTATGCTGATTAAACCTTGCTTATTACAGTCTGGGCCTCTCTGATGGTCTCTTTCTGGGAGTCGTAATCTGGGCACAACAATACCAGAAGACTCATTTTTTTTTTTTTGAGACAAGGTCTTTCTATGTAGTCCAGGCTAGCTTTGAACTTGTTATGTGGTTCATATTGGCCTCCAGTTCAAAATCCTCCTACCCTAACCTTTAAGCCCTGGGATTATGTGTATGGCACAACACTCAGCTCAAATTACTATTTTGAATATCATGAGTCACCAAATGAGACTAGATGGGTTTGATTCATTTATAGGTAAGAATGCTACTGATGGAGTTTATGGGGCTGCTACTTATTAGGATAAGCACTCCTGCATAGAGAAGGACCTGTGAGTACAAAGGGAACTCTGTGGACAGGTCTGGAGCCAGGACTATTCATAAGAGTTGTCCTTCACTGAACTGACAGACGCAGGCCTCTATTAGGCATTGGATATAAATGTATTCCTTTTCAAGAGCATACCCTTGGGAAAGGTGTCTCTGAAGATGAGAAGTCCCCTTAAAGAAACAAGTGAGGTAACAAATCCTTCCTTGAAGGTTAACCTGGTAGGTGCATTTTTATGTTTACTATAGTTATTCAATTTTGAATGTTCTGTTTCCCTAGAATAATGGAGTTGATCCTTGAGAATACACAATGATCTTAACAAGAAATTTCATATTGTATTTGCCATAGAATTCAAGAAAATACCTGAGCTCTTGTATATTTAGAGTAGAGTAGACTAAAGCATTTTATTTATGTAATCTGACTTTAAGAAAGACAGGGGACTCTAACATAGACATTTTGGTATGTTATGTTATCTTTTTATGACGTGCCCTCTTTCACTAAGTGGATCTGGGTATCTACTTGTAGTATGGACACAGGCATTACTAAGCAAAAAATTCTTCTTTGGGTGTTTCCATACAGTTGCATGTAAAACTCTTCTAAGCCCCAAGGTGTTCCAGTGTTCTAATGCTAAAAGGAGCAAGTGCATGTGTCCACCAGGATAAATTTTACTCTAGAGTCACGAAGAAGACACCAGCAGCAGGATATGCTTCCTTCTCTGACCTAATTCTCCATCATCGTCATGTCTTCTGGTGTCAACACACTTGACCTTCTGTACTAGGAAGCTCGCGCGCTCAAGGGCTGTGCCTCAGTAGAGCCTGAGGCAGTAACCAAAAGTAAATCCATATTTTAATCTCTCCTAGGTCATGGTGAAGAAATATACTTACTCTTACAGTCCCCTGACCCAAATGCATACACAGCCTGCTATAAATAACAATAAACTAATGTACTGGGTAGTTTAGTAAGTACCTGAATTTAAGAGAAATTAAACAATAATTTCATCAGAACAAAGAAAGGTTGACTTGTCCTTCATTCTAAACTTTTGGAAAATGTTCAAGAGCTTACTATACACATAAGACATAAGAAATAGTTCTGGGAAGCCAGGATGTGAAGAAAATCATATTAGTTCATAAAGCCATGTCTTTTCTGTTGCAACAGCAGCTTTTTATTATTAAATGCTCATAAATGATGAGAGTTGGATCAATTTACAGGAATCTTTTTCTCCAGTACTATTACTTAACATATAGAGTTCTAAGATGCAAGCTGTAAAAATTGTAACACATTTTAATTTCCTTTTTTCATGCATGGTAAATGGAGAAGGCAAGTGAACATTCCTTAGGCATTCCAGAAATAATGTTCCTAATTGATCAATGTTTTCATTTGGTTCGTTCACCATCCTTAGGGGTAAACACTAAAATAGAGCTAAATATGTTTAATTTTTTAAAAGATTTCATAAAGATTTACAAATTCCATAGTAACTTAATACCCAATAATATCTTAATTCTCTGGGTTCCCAGGGCTATTTTAAAGTCTTTAGGGGAAAATATAATTCTTTTTTTCTTTCTTTCTCAGCTTTGGTATGTTGCCATTAAACTTCACATAGTCTCCCCATACTCTTTTCCAGCTTCTCCATTCTACTCAGCATGCAAGATCTCAAAAAAAAAAAAAAAAAAAAAAAAAAGCAGGGTGCTATTACCTAGTGAAGGGAAGGGAAGCATTCGTTTCGTGGCCGTGGTGAGCAGGAAATTTGGTCTCCAGTTCCAAATCAAGTCCCTGAGCTTTTGCAGGCATCTTTTTGTCCATATAATTGAAGAAGATGCTGACTTCTTATTAAAGGTCCTCAAATGCTCCAAGTATTTTCTGGTTATTATGCAGGAAGATTTAACGGTAGGTCCTGTAATGGGATATGAACCTGTCCCTTTCCATAGCTTCTGGATGGTTTAGAAGATAAGAGTTATATAACACCTTTCTGCTACAGTCATATATACTTAAGAAGCAAATAAAGACTGGACTTTGGGGGTTATATTATAGAAGCTCAAAGGCAAATGACATTTCAAAGCCAAGAAGAGACATTTTACTATTTCTACTTAAAAAATATTTATTTTATTTTTATTTGTCTGTCTGTGTATGTGCTTATTCACGGTTGTTCATGGAAGCCAGAAGGGGAAATTGAATTCTTTAGAGCTGAAGTTACAGGCATTTGTAAGCCACCTTATACTAGTGCTGAGATCCAAACACCAGGCCTCTGAAAGGACAGCAAACCCTGAGCCATCTCTCCAGAACTGTTTATACTTCTGATTGGCAAACAGGAAAGAAATCCCTAGGTCTGGCCAGCATTCTTTCATTATCCGGTATGAATTATAACTATTTAGCTGGGTAGACAGGAGTGTATAAAATTCCTGGCCAGCATGGGAAACATAGCAAGAACTTATCTCAAACCAAGGGAGGGGTTTAGATACCCACTTAACTTTCAGTGTTAAATTTAGTTTTTCACATGACAGTTTTTCTCTTCATATAATGGTCCAAATTGCCGATTTAAATTTGCTTTCAGGATAAGGACATCTTCCAATTCAGTGAATTTGCTAACTCTATCACCATAAAGGTTAAAATCAAGTTAAAGTTTCTTTTTAAAAAATTCTGTTTCAAAGCCATGAATAAAAATTTAATCCCACTGGCTTTCACAAAATTGTGTGGAAGTAGTACCAAAGAGAGAAGAAAACCACCATCTCTGCAGGAAAAATAATTCACGGGATAGCTGTGTTAACAGTGGGGAGTGCTGTCACTCCTGGTTAGTCAAGACAGTGTGGTATTAGGGTTGTTCTGGAAACTAAATTTTCATGTTGGCGTTCACATTGAGGTGCCTGTAGTATATATAATGCATGCCAGTGTCACACTTCCTGCAGTGCTGAGGAAGATCAAAGTAGTATCATTAGGTTTGGAGCACAGAGCAACAGTGTTGTTTGTGAACTTTGTCCTGCTGCTTCTCTTGGCCTGACTTATGGGCACCCAATCTTTCCTGAGAAAAATGAAGAGATCAAAAGGGATGTGTCATGGCTATTTCGCACAATAATACCTAAGGAAGCCACAACACATCATATTTTGTACTAAAATTTGAGACCTGCAGCCAAGTTTACGCACCACAGTATACTGATTTTTTTTTTATTTTAAGTTCCCATCATGCGTCCTGAGACTCAATTTCCTTCGAATTGTTCTTACTTCTATCATATCCTCGGAGATTTCCAAACAGTAGTTACATGGATCTTATATCCACATCACCGAAGACTAGAAGAGGAGGAGGAGGAAGAAGAAGAAATAACAATACCTATGCAGCCCAAATTTGAAGGTACTCTATTTTTATTTCAAAACATTGGGATAATTCAAAATTTGAGCCTCAATGACCAAAAATATATTGGAACAAAATTTTCAGAGGATAAGCTAGGCCACCACTAGACAGCCTCACGTAGACAGGTAGATGCTAGAGAATGATGCTTAAGACATGACTGAAGCTTTTGAATACCCACGAATAGATTCCTACTTGCTTGACTAATTCTCAGTTATGAGTATGACGTATTCCCATGCCACTAGTAATTTATGCCTTCTCCAGAGTCAGTACTGTATCCATCCGTGTGTGTGTGTGTGTGTCTTTGAACATCTACCTTCTTACAAAAGTTTAGCAACATTTACCTGCAAAGGCCTCCAGAAAATAAATTCCTTATGCCACCTTTATAGCCCCAAAGTCATTTATGAAGAATTATAGCTGTCAGGAGTTCCATAGTCACATGAAAGAACCCGTGTATTAGTTATTTTAGTATCAGCGAGCTGTGAATAAACCTCACTAAACATATCCACAGACTTGCTGTCCGGAACTTGAAACTGGTAACCTTCGGAGACTCTTAGACCAAAACGACAAGGTGAAAAACAACCGAAGATCTCCTAAGAAGAGTTGGGCAAATTCTTCCCTAATATGCACCAACTAGGGACAGCCTGACACACTCTTGCACAGGGCCCCACATTTTCTCACTAATGCAGAATTGTCAGAAACCCAAACCACATTCAGAGCCAACAGGGGGAATGCCTGAATCTGAAAAGTAACCAAAGAAATTCCTTCAGGGAAAGGAGATGGCAATGAAAGACGAGTTCCCAGAGTCACTCTCCATTGAAAGCACATTGAGTCTTTAGGACTAGAATATGCACAATCCTGTGGGACTCGCTCCATCTTTATCTGCCTTAACTCTTTTCTTGCCAGTCCTCCTCTGGCTGGTTGAACTGCTCCTGTGGTTGTCCCAGCCAGAAAGCCACTCACTCAGAAGCAAGCCTTAGGAGCTGCATTCCTCGCAGTGACAGGAGAGGATGTACCGGTAAGTGGCGGTGAGTCGCATGCCCCCTGAGCAGCGCAGACGCAAAGCCTTCAGCTTGGAGGTCTGAGGTCGACAGCAGTGACAGGAGGAACGGAAAGGTTGCTTGAGGACAGTGCTGAAGGACACCAACGGCTCAGAGCGTGATGCCTGGCTGCAGTGCCCTTCACATCTGGCCAGGAGCACCATCTGGAGAAATAACGGGAGGTGATTACTACGTGCAGGTGCCTAAATCTCAAGTTACCACAGCATCCTTTGAAAGGCTCTAACACTCCTGTCCAATTCCTGCTGGGTCAGACCAGTGGGTGCAACTCAGAATCTATTGGTAAACCTAAAATATGTATTTAAGGTATTGTGGCTCAGCAGAAGAGGACTTGCTTAGCATGCACAAGGCTCTAGGTTCAATCCCCAGCACCTGGAGGTTGGTAGGAAATCATTCAACACTACCCCATCTGAAACGATTTTGAATTTAACTCGTATAGTAAGGCCCAAGCGTTCATGATTTTCAAGATTCCTTTGGTGACTGAAGTGCAGTGATGGTTTAGAATCAATTAAGAAGATGTACCACTATGGTGTGAATAAAAAAAATCCAGGAGCGGGCCTGGTGATGTACTTCAGGTGATAGAGCGCTTGCCTAGTGCACCCACATGTCTGGGTTCAGTCTCTAGGACCATATGAACCAGGGATGGTGACACATACCTGTAATCTCAGCATTTAGTAGAGGCAGAAGTATCAGGAGTCATCTTCAAGTACATAAATGAGTTCAAATATCTTGCCTCCAAAACCAAAGCCAAATAAACATCTGAGTACAAAATGAGTTTCTCCTGATGGATGGAGGACTACCACTGCCCAAAAGTACTGCAGTTCTCCCACCACCAACAAGCAGAAAGTCACTTCAGATTGAAATCCAGGCTCAAACAGAGAATGATGGAATTGGGGGTTCAATGGGAAATAACTAAACAGAAGGAATGTAGTCTCTGCAGAAGAAAAAGGAGTTATCTAAGTGTTGCTTTGGAAGAAATATTCTAGGTGTAACTTAGAAGAAGAAAGTGAAGTAGAGACAGGATACATTTCCGGGTCTGAGAGTTTATACCTGAGGTTGTACCTTAAAGAGGTACCTGTCATTTATACAGTTTATGTCAGCATCTTCAGAATTATTTAGAGAAAATTCACCCTGACCCTCTCCATTTCCAGAGGTTTGGGCTGCTGTGTCAGAGCTTGTGTGTTCTTTATAGTAAGACTCTATTAAGATTAACTAAGGGGATGGAGAGCTGATTACATGGTCAAGACCACTTGCTAGTCTTACAGATGATCTGGATTTATTCCCAGAATCTATACCAAATGGTTCACAACAGCCTGTAACTCCAGTTCCAGAGAGGTCCAACATCTGATCTTTTCAGACACCTGAGAAGATGTACATACAGGTAAGCAGGCACACACATACACATAAAGGAAAAATAAATGAATCTAAAAATGAAAAACTGTTTAAAAAGTATAAAAATTACCCTCAGGAAAATGTACATACTCACCATTTTGCATACAGCTTAAGGAGATGGCCAAAAGGTTCCTTTGATTCTTTTTTTTTTTTTTGAGTAGAAGTAAGGAACTCAGGAGGAAATTTCTGAAGTAATGACCTTCCCAAACAAAGGAAGTCTGGAGGTTTCTTATGGGAGCCTATGTGTATTCACACTGGAAAGCACTTTAGATGTGGGCATATTCCTGATAACACTGAGCATAAGGAACAGATTCCCAAACATGTCTGCTTTAAGGTCATAGTTCAAGAAGGAAAAATGCTGACCACATTCCTTGGCATGTCCAGGTCAAAGACAGCGAGTGGATGTGCAAGAACTCTTCTGATCACACTTAGTTTAAATTATAACAGTAGGCTGATAGACTCATTTGCTCTGCTTTCCCAAAAAGTTTGAGCTAAACTCAAAGAAAAGGTGTTTTGAATGTGCGTTAAGACAGGAGTTTGCCCCACAAAGATAAATGACAGCTCATAGAGTTCAATGATCTTTGAATACTAGGGATGGGAGGCATGAGTGAGATGGACCAAGGCAGCTTGATCCCTGGTGATACAGAACCTTATAATATTTTGGTAATTAGCAGTTAATATTAAAGACTCACTATAGATGACTTCTGACATCATCCTATGGGGCAAAATTAAACTGATAGTTAAAGATTACTAACATCATTATCTGAGGAAATACTGGGAGAAATGTCAACAATTAATTCGCACACATGAAGGAACTATGAGATAGTAGCAGAAAAAGCTAGCAGGACTAAGGGAGGAATAAATTCAATTGGTCTAACATTACTTTTTTTGCAAGGTCACAAAGGCAGAAAGAAAATGGCTACAGTAAGCTGTTTTGATTCTATTAAAGTTTGTATTGGTATTCTGTCTGTTCTTCAAATTGACAGGCAAGATAAACATCATCCCAACCAGGTTTGAGAGGATTATGCTGTAGATAAACAATATCTGGCCCATCTCTGGTGTCTACCCCATTTCTCTGAGAGTCCTAGAACTTCCCCAGTTCCTTCTCCTTGTATCTGCCAGTACATGGGGAAACTTGCTTCACACACTGAAACAGCATAAAATTTGCTGCTATCTAATCCAGATTACCTATTGGAGAGTAAAGCAATCATTCTGCCACTTTCCAAAGTAAAGTCTTTATAGATCCAGGTGGATAAAACAAACCTGTTCCAACAAGAATAATTACAAAAGGTCAAAGACAGCATGGGATATCCCAGTAAGACATACATGGTGAGTCAAATATGGCCCTAACTGAACATGATATTAGCTGTCCATAAAATAGTCAAGTCTGCAATACAGGGTAACTTGAAGATAAGCTACCTTAATTGTGATTAAACTAAAAGTTTTAGGATATCATGCTTCATGCCCAGTCTACCGTGAAGGACCAGATCTCTAGGATGGAAGGACCTAGGTCCACCTTCAGTGGGCCTAGTCCCTATTTCTCATGTACTGTTTCTACACAAGATGAATAAACAGAGATATACAGTCAGTACCTACCGTGACTGTCCCACATGTCAAGTACTTTTTGTCTTATAGCTGTTCTCATCATCTGCTCCCTGCTCCAGTTAAAGTCGAACTTAACTACTTAAGAGCCCATGGGACTGCCCTTAGTTTTCCTTCCTCCTGCCTTTGTGCATGTCTTTACTCTCCCAGGGACGTCATTTTCACTTGGTTTTGTCTAATGAAAACCTTCCTATATCTTGTCTGTGGGTCTCCTCTTCCAAACACTGAAACAATTAGTGGTTTTTTTTTTTGGTGTTCTCAGTACACACACATGCACACACACACACACACACACACACACACACACACACACACACACACGATGTGGGATTTCCCTCTGTATGCTGTGATTACCATTGATGAATAAAGAACTGCTTTGAGCCTATAACAGAGCAGGGCGGGGCAGAGCAGAGCTAGGCGGGGAAAACTAAACTGAATACTCAGGAATAGAAGGGTGGAGTCAGAGAGAAGCCATGTATCCCTGTGGGAGCCAGATAGAACTTTAGCCGATAAGCCACATGGCGATATACAGGTTGATAGAAATGGCTTAAATTATAAGAGTTAGTCAATAAGAAGCTAGAGCTAATGGGCCAAGCAGTGGTTTAATTAATACAGTTTCTGTGTGATTATTTCAGGCTAAGCAGCCAGGAACCAACAAGCAGCCTCCTTATTACACACACACACACACACACACACACACACACACACACACACACACACACACAAAGAGGTAGAGAGGGCAAGGGAGGGACAGAGGAAGGAGAGTAAATTCACCTTTATAATGAGAACTGAACATGTCCAGAAACATTCTTTTCTATTATTTTAACTTTCTAAATATGTTTCATGACTTTGAGTTAAGTATGTCTTTCTTTCAGATGATCTCAATATATATATACCAGGAACAAGATCCATCAATGTCACTTTCCCACACCTTCCTTTACCTGCGACATCAAGACATGACTGTTCAGCTCATCTCTGGGAACTCAGGTCAATATTTAAAGGGTCACCTGTGCCAGCTGAGATCAGCAACAAAATGACAACCAGGGGAACAAAGTAGCATAGGGGTGAGACTTGAAGATTTGGATGGGAACTCACATCACTCCAACTGCTGTCTGTTACTGTCACACAAGCCAAAAATCAAACAGATGTGAAGAGGCATTTGCATCGCGAACACTTCCTTTTCCTATATCCTCTTGAAGCATTATGAGGGGTAAATATTTCTTTGTCTTCTTCTCCTATTGTTTTTGTCTTTAACAACTTTGATGATGCCTGCACACAGTAGCCATCAGTATAAATTTCTTATTTTAGGGGCTAGAGAGATGGCTCAGCTGTTAAGAGCATTGCCTGCTCTTCCAGAGGTCCTGAGTTCAATTCCCATCAACCACATGGTGGCTCACAACCATCTGTAATGAGATCTAGTGCCCTCTTCTGGCATGCTGGCAGATATTAAATAAATAAATAAATAAATAAATAAATTTTTTATTTTAAAAATTATGCCACATGTCTCAGGTGATCAATTATATTATAAACTCCATATCTCTAACTCCAATACATTTTCCTATGAACTTCATGGGCAGCAACAGAATAGGGCTTGGGGATTCTACCAGCTCTTTCCCAATCCTGCAGCTCAGTCCTTGACATGAAAAACCTTCTCTCTCGGAATGTTTACAACCTTGGTCTCCTCAACTCAGCTCCTTCTTTCCTCACAGTCTGCTGTCTCATCTTGCCCAGAATGGTTGCCCCTCACCCCTCACTTAGAACCTGATTCTACTCCATTACCTTGGACCACCGTCCCCTACTTCTCAACAACTTGGGCTTCAAACACCCATGGAGCCAGTTCACGTTTCCAACCCAAGATCTCAGAAATACAAGCTGGTCAGGAATCAGAACTCACCGTTGCACCTCCTCCATTCCCCTTGTGAAGGTAGCCAGTAGTCTGCTTCTATTTCATCCTCTCTCTCAGCACCCAGCACAGGGGCTTATATTTACTTTGCTCTTCTGTTCTTCCCCACCCCTCCCATAACCAGCAGAGTCATAGGGAAGTTCACATTCCTAATCCTTTAATACTGCAGGGATCCCAACAGTTATGGAAGTCTTAGTAGTGACTGAAATAGAAGAGTGGGTTGAAACACCTGTCTAGCTTACAACTTCTTCATCAGTATCATAACAGCTTTATTAAAGGTCTGTTATATGGCAAGCTCTGTGCTAGTTGCTTTACAAATATTACCATTGCTGCCATACATAGCCACGTCCTTGAGCAAGTAGCTCTTTTTGCAGAGGAGGAAACTGAGGCACCAAACAATGATTTGGCTTCCTGAAATCACTCATTTGGAAAGCTGTGTATCAAGAACTGAATAGCAGATCTCTACTGGAGTAAAGCCTCAGTGTCTGTCACCATTTTACAGACAGCCCATTTCTTCTGGCTGCAGATCCTAAGCTTGTTTGCTTTATGACCTTTCTGCAGAATTTCAGGGAAATGTGATTTCTTAGGAAGAATGGAAATGGCTTGCCACTTCCAGGCCCTTTTGGACCAAATCCCATGAGATATCATTACAAACAAAGACACTGGGTATAATCTAAACAGTGGCTACTCTGTCTTTCTTGGTAGGTCAGTCTTTTCTGCTGAGTATATCTTAGTTCTTTACTGAATTGTTAGGAGAAAGTTGACAGGACCTAAAACTGGGCAAATACAAGATCAAGGCCATGGTGAACAGAGAGTCCCACAAAAGTTGTCCAGAAAACATTTACCCATTATTTCTTTTTTTTTCTAGAAAAAAATTGTAAGCTATGACATTTATGCAGGCACCTAGATCTTAATTCTAAATAATAGCTCCTATATTCTTACTGCATTTCTTCAATATGAGGAGCCAGGTTCAGAAAAATGAACTCTACAAAGAAAATACTGCCATTCCCAAATTATGTGGCATCAAGAAACCACAAGTTTTCTTTGTTCCATCATGGGAATGATAATACCTACATGGCAGGTCTCTTGGCAATGAATATATATATATATATATGTGTGTGTGTGTGTGTGTGTGTGTGTGTGTGTGTGTTGAGTGTGTGTGTATATGCGTGTGCGTGTGTGTATTGAAATGACTGACACAGGTTAGGTGTTCAAGGCAGTACATTCCTTTCCTTTGACCACACATAGATTTCATCTGTATTCTGGAGACCAGACAGAGGATCTCTGTGAGTTCAAGGCCACCCTGGGCTACACAAGATCAATGCAGAAACAGATCCAGGTGGTGGTTGCGCACACCTTTAATCCCAGTCCTAGGGAGTCACAGCACTAAAGGGAATAGAAAATGGGATGAAAGAGAAGCTTAGTTTTGCAGTCACCTAGCTTTGGTAGAGGTAAGACTTCCCTGGTGGCTTGGCTCCTTTGTTTTTCTGACTTTCAGATTGAACCCCAATTTCTGTCTTTGGGTTTTTATTATTCATGCTACAAGACCCATTAGAGGGACTATCAGCCTAAGTCTGTAAAAATTTAAAACTATGTAATATTTCCAAATGAAAATCATTTTCTTCCTGAATACATAAAGAAAATTTAATCCAGAAAGGGTCTGGTAACTGAAACTCTGCCAGGCAGAGTTACAAATTTCTGTGACCAAGGAAAGAAGATTAATAATTACAAGCAGCATTTACATAAAACCATTGCTATATTTGGGGTCATTTGGGAAGTTGGAAAACAGATTGCTTCCATGAAATGACAAACATTTTTTTCTATTATCAAGTTTTACACTGCTATGCACGGTGGCATTCTGGGAGAAGCAAAGTTGAACAACATTTGACTAAAAGTTGTTTCTAAGAGTCCTGCTCAAATCCTGTGAGTTTGCGTTAATGGCATTTCTTCCTTGAACTTTCCTCTCTTAGGTTAACATGCTAAGATAGTCTTCCATCTATCACAAATCATTTTGTCCAATCTTCTGGATTATTTTCAACTTTTCTTTTGGTTCTGGGGATGGAACATAGGATCTCAAACATGCTAGGCAAGCTCTGCCATCCACTCTCAACTTTTTGTAGATGCCACTATTTTCTTTTATCCTCCCTTTCATCACAATGACACTTTCTTAAATTTGAATTCCTTTTCTCTCCTTTTAAAGAAACATGATTATAAAGAACAGTTCAACAAAGAAAGAAATCGTCCATGAACTAACAAGCAGTGAACACAAGTGCTGTCTCTTCTGAAGTAATTTCTGAGCAATCACGGTTATAAAAATGTTTCTCTTATCTTTTCCTCATAGTTGTTTTAGTTGTTGCTGCTGCTTTTTGTGCTTCTGTGGTGCTGAAATGAACCCTAAGCCAGTGTGTCCCCCCAATCCCCACCAGCTCCACCAGCTCCTGCTCTCCATTTCCAAGAAGGAAACTTTCTGCTCACCATCTAATTGTTTCTCTTCAGTTTTGTTCCTCAAGTATAAATAAGAACCAGGATATTTTCTTAAGTGGAAAAATATCTATTTCTTTTCCTACAGTCCCAGGTCTTATTAATACAATGGTGAAATTGATTTAACTTAAATTTTGATCCTTCAAACCCTTATCTCCTCAAACTAAAATAAGGGATCTTCCTAGGTCTACAATCATGTAAGTAATGGAAAATGGAAACGCAGACATGTTTGAAATGGAGGGTGGAGAGATTTATTTCTATGAGCTTAATTCTAGTGATTTATATTGCTTTGAAAATTCTTAATTATATGGGTAATTTTAAAAATACTTAACATATGAGAATGTTTCAATGGGTTTTGTTGTTGCTGCTGTTTTAGTCTCAGGACTAAAGTGAGAATCCTTTGAGGTAGAGCTAAACAAAATCTTATTTACTAAGTGTGGCCACATTTAGTGCACGTGGCTGAGGGAACAATAGTCAGGAGAACTGTAATTTGGAATTCGTTCCATCCTACGTTGTGCCTCCCTTCTGGGTGGTCTACATGGCCGCCACTCTTGGTGGTCTTTTAGGGTGTTAGTACTTTGTGCACCTCTTCTCAGCACTGAGACATAGATGACTTGTGCAAGAAACACTCTACCCACTGCAAAGAAGACAAAACTGCTAATCAAGATAAAATGATAAAAAACTGAATTGTCATCTTTAGTTCTGGAGTCATTTTAATATAAATGTGGCACAGGGAGGAAGGTTTAGGCCACACAGCTTGTTCTGGGGTAGTTCAGAAAACTGTTTGAGGAGCCTCCAAGAATGTGTTCCACTGTTAAATCTTATTCAAATTCTTCCCCTTCTTTTGGTTGTTGATGCAGGTAGAAGGAATTATGATAACTTGGAGGCTCCATTTTTCTTTCTTCTTGCATGTATGTGTGCGTGTGTGTGTGTGTGTGTGTGTGTGTGTGTGTGTGTGTGTGTGTGTGTGTGTGTATGTTCCTGCACATGTGTGCATTTTTACAAAGATGACTGTGGTGGTTAGAGGTTGAAGGACAGAGTCTCTTACTGAATCTAGAGCTCATTTACTGGACTAGATTGACTAGCCAGCATGCCCCACAGGTTCTCCTGTTTCTGCTTCCTCATCCCTAAGATTAGAGGTGTGTACCACCATGGCAGCTCTTTTACATGGATGCTAGGGATCCAAACTGAGGTCCTCACTTTACCCACTGAGCCCTATTTCTAATCACTGTTTTTCTTTATTGAAAAATAAACATTATTGCTCATAAATTTCCCAGTCAGGGACACAGGATACCCAACAACAGGATCAGCATGTACAAGCTCCATTACAGTCATGGTATTGCAAAACATGGTGGAAAAACTCTAAAGAAAGATTCCCTTGTGAGTTTTACAAGCCAGTCATAGAGCTACACTTTGGGCTCTGGTCACAGTTCTTCGCCACCTGACAAGGAACTATGGCCTCTTTTCTGTAAGAGAGGGAAAGGGGTATCTTCTCAAAGACTTGGGAGCGACCTTGATCTTACCTTTGAGCTACACTTGTACAATGGGTGACTGATAGAATCGACATAATGGTGTCTCATGCAGCGTTGAGAGTCCATCAGGAAGGAGCTGTCTGTTTTGCTGTCTGTATCTCCCATTACGGCCAGCAGGGAGAGCATAGAAATGGATGCAGCTAGTACATGATTTCTCATTGTTGTAAGGGGAAACTTCTCCAGAAGAACAGCAGAGGGCGACAGAGGACAATTGATTGGAAATGTTGTCACCACCTAGGATCCAATTCCTTTCAAGGCCAGGACAGGATGGAGCTGTTGCTTTCTGGTTGTCATTGTCCTTTGTATGCTGGAGTTTTGTCTTGCTCCTTTCGCTTGTAACCGATCACCACAGTAGCTACTGTACAGCTGGAATGAAGGCAGAAATTATTTTTCCCAGAAATATGGATGCAACACAAAAGATACAAAGTCAAACATTCCCATGCCGTTTGGGGTAAAGAACACCGGTTTCTGGAGCCTTATTAGTTTATGCTGTCATCCATTTCATGTCCCCCGACCTTAGTGTTTATACTACATATTTATGACCATTTGGAAATGGACATCACAGTTGAGTGGAAGCATATGCTGACTTGAATTGCTTGAATCTATGGGCCTAAGATCCGGAACAGTTTGAGCCCATGGCTGCGATTAAAAATACATGGTTCTGGCCACAGTCTAACTAAATTGGGCGGTCTCATCTTTGTCCTTGGTTGACAAGGCAGAAGGGTTTATTCAGATTCTCTCGAAGCTTTACTATCAACATCAGTTTACAGGGCTAGAGCAAAGGAAGGTCATTGCTAATGAACATAGGCCGTGGCCCGAGGGAGTACATTTTCCACTCTACACCCACCCACCTAAATTTTCCACTGCTGTGCTCTGGGCTCTTCCTGTTTTTGTTTTAAGTCCTTGCCACCCAGCGTCAGTGGCCAACTGCATCTGAAACCCACATTGTGATCCCTGGCCTCCAGCGTGGCTAAGGTACCGCATGCATATTTCCCAACAGAGTCACACATTGCTGCACAGCCTTTGTAGCTGAAGCCCACAGTGTAATTTGAAAAGAGTGGTCATCGGAGTAGAGACTTTCCATTAAACTGAGATTATGCTATACTGGTTTCCCTAAAGTTTGCTTTGTTCTTTTAACTATAGCTCCTGGTCAAGGGACCGGAGTTCTGCAATCTACTAATTTACCTCAATGATGCTTTGTATTATACCAGAAGACACAGAATATCAAAATATTTTCAAAAATTTGGGGAAATTGAGAGACCCTGACTGCACATACCAAACCAAAGGAATGGAGTAATTAAAGCTTCAGAAAAACTTTCAAAGATATTTTAGATCAAAGTTGGATTGTTTGTTCAGAGAGCAAGTATTTCTTTGACTTCCTATTTGTGAACAGTCTGAATAAACAGGGGAAAGTATTGATGTGATCAAGATAACAAGTTCAAGGTGATGCAAGCCAATACAATAGATTATTATTGTAATAGATACAATAGAGTATCCTCAGACCCACTTAGCTGCAATTAGACAACTTGCGAGCGTGGGACGGGGCATTCTGAGTGGAGAAGGGTATGGCAATAAAACCATCTCAGAGCAGAGCATCCCTGTTAGCAAAAGCTAGGAGCAAGTGTCTCTGGGACATTCTATAAATTTCAGGAAGGCCATGGACCAATAATGAGAGGAACCACCTGGACTCAGTCATGGACAGCCATTAATCAGCTGTGATGTCTTGCACACCTCACTTAAATTCTTCCAGTTCATTTCCTCACCTATAGGACAGAAGAACTGACAGCAATAGCATACATTGTTCCCTCCTGCTCTAAAATGCCAGCAATGAATAGCAATGGATTTGGCTACCACCATTTCGCTACGCAGAGGGTAATCCTAAAGATGAGAAGAGCCTGTTCCCAGATAGCCTTGTACCCCTCTCCTTTATGCACATGCTCACAATGACCTCTCCTTAAAATGGATCAAGCCTGTGCCCAAATGGCTCAATGGGTCAAGGCTGAGGAATATTTTTTTCTTACTGAAAATGGATTTTTCATACAATATATTCTGATTACAGTATCTCCCCCCCTACCTCCTCCCACCCCCAAACCACACCCTTTCTTGCTCTCATTAGAAAAGAAATGAGCATCTAAAAAACTATAAAATAAAAACAAACAAACCACAATAGAGCAAAACAAGCAAATCGGGGAAAAGAGCCAAAGAAAAAGCACAAGGAACACATATAGATGCAGGCACACACACACGTGTGCACAGAGATCTCACAAAAACACAAACCCAGAAGTCACAATGGGGAAAAAAAGCTCAGACAAAGCACTGTGAGACAAAACAAGCTTCAAAATATGTCATTGAGTTCATTTTGTTGTCCATCTACTGCTGGGGTCTGCCATTAAGTATGGTTTGTATACCCAGTGAGACTCCTTTGGAGAAAACAATTTTTTCATTTGAGGGAGGTTATCAATTGAAGATAGCTTTTGGGTTAGAGATGTAGGCTCGTGTTTACTTACTCTTTCAGTGCTGATCATCAGGGAATTACCTTTCTTAGGGTATAGACATGAGTTTTTAGATGGGTGTTGGGGGTCTACACTCGCTGGGGACCTCATGTTTGAGCAGCGGATACTCTATTAACTGAAGCATATATCCTCAATCCTGTGAACTGGTTTGTTCTCTTGAGATGATAAACTGATCACCAAAGTAGTTATAAAGGACAAAGAAGACTGGAGTAAGGGCTCAGGAGTTAGGCACACTGGCTGTTCTTCCAGAGAACCCAGGTTCCATTGCGAGCACCCACAAGAGAGCTCACGACCTTCTGTAACTCCAGTATCGGTGAATCTGATGCCCTCTTCTGGCCTCCATGGGCACCAGGCCCACAAATGGTGCACAGGCATACATGCAGGCAAATCACCCACACACATAAAATAGAAAATAAAAAACATGACAGAAAAATAACAAAGGACATGTGACTTTACCTGTAGTTTTAAGATTTTTGCTTTCAGTGCAGTCATACAAGTCATGACATTTTCATTCAGCTTTCTATTTACACTGAAATAGCATTGCAAACTATGATAATAAAGAATTCATAAAATCTTCAAAACGTACAGGTAAGATCTTTATAGCACAACCCTGGCATTTGGTTTTATTATTATTGGCAGTACTAGTCTTTTAGACTTACTTATTTTCAGTTTCTTTTATGTATATGAGTATTTTGCTTACTATATATATATATATATATGTGTGTGTGTGTGTGTGTGTGTGTGTGTGTGTGTGTGTATTAAGTGCATGCCTGGTGCTGGAGAAGATCAGAAGATATGATCAAATGCTTTAGAAGTTATTTATGCTTGAGAGCCATGAGACGTGGATACTGAGAATGGAACCCAGGTCCTCTGCAAACACAAGTGCTCTTAAGCACTGAGGCATCTCTCCAGCTCCACAATTGTTTGTTTGTTTTGGTGCAGATTCTTAGGGTGTAGACTTCTTGAGCTCTCAAGGCACCCTGAAATTGCAGGCCTCTACCGCACCAGAGGCTGAGACTTCTGTTGCATTTTGCTTTTGCTTTAACTGTACAAACTGCATGAGCCCGCAGTGCTGTGCTGAAGAGCAGTTTATGACAATAAAGCTCGAGAATGGAGAACAACTGAGCCCAGCCATGGTGTAACAGAGCAGGGTCTGCAGTGTGAGCCGCGACTTACACAGAGGAGCATGGCCAATTAAGAAAACCCACACCACCACAGGATCGCTTGCTTTCTGGCATGCTAGGACATTTCAGCTTTATGGGAGCTCCTCGCATTTTCTTGAAATTAAATTAATTCATTTGTCTTTAATTTTAAGCCATATGTAACAAACTCAAATAGTGATGATTAGGATTTAGGACCTCAGCCAACCAAGCCACGATGAGTTGAAGAACAGAACTCAGTAGTCCTTTGTGCTATGTGCTCTGGGACAGTCTCTGAGTCCTGAACTTGGCCACAGGACAGAGCCATGTGCTAGAGCCTTTGCAGCAGGAGAAGCACGTAGGCCAGCATGCCCGACTTTGGAGCTACCTCTCAAACGCTACCAGTGGAAAAGAACAACTGGTGCCCAGATTTCCCCACCTGTCATCCTCATTGAAATAATAGAGCGGCCTCCTGGGTGAGAGATGGTGCTGCGCCCACAGATCAGCTCATTCTTGGGCTGACCTTCTGCCTGGCAGAGAGTGAAGCACTGGCTTTGCGCAAGTGATTTCAGCAGCAGGCTAAGACAAGTGTCATGTGCTAAGAACGGCCTTGTTTTTGCCCTACTTCTGAGGCAAAGGAGGGCAGTGTTTCCATAGCTGTGTTTCTCCTGAGCTGTTTTCCGTACTGAAATAGACAGATGTTCTTTCCCTGGCTTCTTTCAACAAACATTTGTTTATTCACCATACATATCTAATCACTGAGCATTTACCATGGGCTTCCTTTCGCTCTAGCAGATAAAATGTATGGATCAGGGTTCAGGGGTGTGGCTCACATGCTGAGGCCCAGGGTTAAATTCCCATCACTAAAAACAGGTAAAATAGATAAAGGTAAGAGGAAATAAATAGATTCACTGCATTTATAAGTAAAGAGTCTTAGCCTGCTTTTTCCTTTTTAATTTTGAGGCCCCATTGATACATCATCCCATTCACTAATTTATGTTTAGCATGCGCAGCATCGTCTCTGAGAAGACTTAGTGAAGTGAATAAAATATATTGACTTTGAAATAAACTCAGTGTATCATACAGAAATATTTATTATTTAAAATATTTTTGTTTTGTTTTTTGAGACCAGGTAGGTCTTTTTATGTAGTTCTGGCTGTCCTGGAACTCTCTCTATAAACCAGGCTGACCTTGAGCTCACAGAGATTCACCTGTCTCTGGCTTTCTTGGAACTCTTTCTGAAGACCAGGCTGGACTTGAGTTCACAGAAACACACCTGCATATGCCTCCCAAACACTGGGGTAAAAGGTGTGAAACACTACTCCCAAATATTTGTTTTAATTTTTTAAAAAATCTTCTGAGTCAGGCATAAGGTTGCAGTGCACTGAAGCATAGAAATTTTTTAAAAAGAGGGAAATTAAAACTGTATGGATGGGAGAAAGTTTGATACTAGATAATACTTCATACAAGGATTGGAAAAACAAGGAATGCTGGATCTTATTCAGAATGCAAAATGCTAAGTAGCCCTTTCCCAGGAACCCCAAAAATTTCAATGGTATCTAGTCAACAAGATGCCCTGGAGAAAAGTCAGATGCTTCTTCCCAAGATACTTAATTTATAAACTGTAAACAGCATGTCGGATTGTAGAAAGCATCCCCTGCTCTCAGTGAATAGCTTAAAATTATTTCTATCTAGCAACACAAGAGTAACAGTA